CGGACTAGATGATCTACTCAGGTCCCTTCCGACCCTAGAAACTATGAAACTATGTCTATGTGAGACACTTACTGCACAGTAGCCTAATAACACTGCACAGCAGCATGCCAGGCAAAACCCATGCTACTACACTACTGCGCAGTAAGCACCAGTAAAAACCTGTGTGCCGGTGCTACTGCATAGTAACATGAGTTACTGCACATTTAGCACTTATTCAAGTGCTAAACTTAATGCGCCATAACTATGGTGGATTAATGAACATGTAGACATGCCCGTTGAGAATGCTTATAAGAGTTGTGTCTCATAGCACCCGGTAAGGAAAATCACCATCACTAAACATTGCTTCTTCTGGCATTACAGTAGCAACACAACTTCATTTAGGCAGTTACAGCTGTACCTCCAAAGTCCTTGTGATTCACATTGCAAAAAGTAATCCTAGTAGTTCTGTCACAATCGGTGTGATGTTATCAACTGCTGGGAGGTTGACCCTGCGGAACGCTCGTACAAACCAGAGCTGTGCTCACCTGTCTCAATCACAACGTCCACGTTGGTTTTCTGGTCATTAAACCAGCCATGGATTTCCACACGGCAGCAGTATGTCCCTGCGTCTGCTTCCCTTGCTTTCCGGATGGTGAGGGACACGTCCCCTCTCAGCAGGTTCCCATATAACTGGTATCTGTTGTCCTGCCGCTGTGTCACCCTCCTGCCATTTGTCCAGAGAATTAGGTCTGAACACTGAGAAGCAGGACAGGGGCCCCGGCCCCAGCACATCGTGGTGAGATCGCTGTCTATTCTAACACTGTAGCGGCAGGACAAAGTGACATCCTGACCCACCACGCCTTTCACTGGAGATCCCAAGACCGAGACACCTGCAGACAAGGAGACAACTGGAGTTGAGAAGGGGATAGGATAGTGTGGAGGTTATAAGGGAAACAGGTATCGACCAGTCTTCTGGAAGAGGGAATAACTAGAAGGAAATAATGATATAGAGTTCGGGGTTGAATTCCCTTTTGTTCAACAGTTGTGTTTAACATTACCTAGTGGGCAGATTTTTTGAGCTACATCTACAAGGTGAGCCAAAGACTTACATATCACTCACATCCTGCTCGTTTATTAACCTTCATCTCATTTAAGAGAGGCATACAGGATACAGGGTAGGGATTTATCCAGCACATTCAGTTGCACCTTCCTTGCAAAATGCCTGCCAACATTGTTTCAGGGCAAGAGGCTGGCTTAGTGACACCAAGCCTGTGAACATATACAGTTCTTTCCAGTAGTGCTAGGTTTCTCTTTCCTTGTTCATTTGGTGCATCAGTACATGCATCATGAAATAATACAGCAGATAAAATGCAGAACTTACTTTAGAAGTGTTGTGGAAATCTCCCACAGACCCAGGAGTCACATTCCTGTGTTTCCCCTTAAGAGTTAGCTTCAACACACTCACCCACTCCACCAAGAGGTCACAACTACTACCCATTTCATATCAGTGACAATAATGACACATTTTCTATGATTTTCTGCTGGTATGTTGTAGGGTATTTGCTAGTATAAGCAAGCCTATCTTTGATTAATGTGCAGATAAAGTATAGACAAATATAGCAATTGCAGCAACATCAAACGATACCGATATAAACAATGCCACTTATGTCAGCTATTTCTTTAGCAACCTATATGTAGCAAAAATGGTTTCAACTTAATCCTGATGGAAATAAAGTTACAGCAACTTAGCTAATTCATTTCACTCAATTAGCAGTTGCATTTATAACAGCCAATGCAAGCAGCAGCTCTTTCTTCCCTCTCTCTCTCTCAGAATTTAAAGGCAGAGGCGAAGATTTTGGTGGTTGTTTTCTTTTAATGGACCAACAGGTGGATTTTTTCATATCCTTATCCTTGCTGAGGTCAGGTGGATCCACTAACAACCTTTCAGGAGGTTACATTTAAAGGCTCACTTTAATGAAAGCTGAAACAATAGAAGACAGTGTCCAAGGCACAGACCGACATGTAGAGGCTGAGCCACATTCACAAAGGGATTCCACTCCAAGACTGAAGTCTGGCTAAATAAAACACACTTTTGCTAATAAATTTGGTTTGTACTGTGACAAAGCCATCGTAACACATGAAATAATCTGTTCTGAAAATATACCGAATCAATACTTAGCAGTAACAACATAGCTTTCAGTTTAATCTTTTATTTGGAATGAATAAAATGCATAATTTCACTTCCTAGATTGTATCTGACAGTTGTATTTTTAGGCAGATTTTAGAGAACTGATGATTGAACACTGTCCATTATTTCCACATCTTTAGTTCTTCTGAGTACCTTTGGTTCTCTCTCAATGTCAATTTTGAAAATGCATAATTTTGCTCATGCCAGCAATGGAAAAAGTTACTGTTTGGGTTGAAAGCACTGAAGATCACAGCAGAACACCTCTCTAATGGATGAGCATATTTGTTTTTAAAGAATGTACCAAAACATTAAATTGCATCCAAATAAGGAAAAATCCAGAATATAAATAAATAAATAAAGCTCTTATAAAAGAATGAGGTCTTGTGTTAAATACAGGTCTAAACTACATAGTTCTCAATCGTATTTACATAACAATTGCAGGCAGAATCGTTATTTATAACTAAGAATTATAGACAGCGCTGGTAAAAGCTCACATTTGAAACACAGCCTTTCATTTATTTTTATGGAAAAAATATTTAATAGCTGTGATGGTAAATTGCAGATTCCATGACAAACTAGAACACTAACACGACTCCCCTTTTTAGAAGACACTGTATTTAGTCTATACTTAACTTCCCTGCAGTAAACTTGGGAAACTTAGGCATTAGTTATAAAAGCTCCATCCGCTACTGGTCACTCTTACTTTCCTTTAGTTACCTGCAAATAGGACCGTTAGAATCCACTTCAGCAAGAAGAAAGGACACAGGGTGACAACTGAAAGAAAGCAGAGAAATTCTGTGTTCAGGCTTCACAAGACAACTTTAAGAAAAAGCAAGCGTTCATTTCTTAGTTTTTTAAATGCTGTTCCTTAATGGCATTGTAACAGCTGTTGCAACAGCACAGCTCAGTCATACTTACACCTGCTCCCAATTGAGGCTGACTTTTCCTGTACCAAATTCATTGTTTCAATTGTCCTGACAAGTGTGAGGAAGCAACCTACTCTTCACTGTGGTTCAGCTGTGTAGTACTAACTTTAATGGTAAAAAAAACGTTGCTGAAAGGACATATAAATCCTGCTCTATCTGAAGCAGAACTGAGACTTGAGGTTTGGTCTTATTTACGTTTCCAGCTAACCTCAGCATTTACGCTTAAATTCTCAAGCACAGGCAATACAACTCAGCTTGATAGTTTAAGCAATTGAGGAAGTAGAAATGTGAACCTAATATGGGTTGACAAGAATTGCTATAGTGGCTTGTTATAATAAATGGTATTTAGACAGCTTCCAAAAATGTTGTGGAATACCAAGTATGCTTGATTATTCTCAAAATATATTTCAAACAACTGAGGTACCTCGTTTGCTTAAGTCCCTTTGGAAATCCAACAGGATGCTTATGGGCACCTTTGTGAGCTTTTACATACCTTTGAAGATACAGCCCATGTTTTATTTTCCCAATCTAGAGTTGGGGAACAGAAGGAAGGGGCAGCTTTCCTTTGGTGCCTCTCTTCACAGGGTCAGTACCTGGCATGACTCTTTTATAAAGGCAATAAAAATGTCTTAAGGTAAGCAATAAAAATTCACTCTCTCCCATTTACCTTTTATCCCAGAGAATTTTCAGTTCCATTACTGAACTGATGTAACTAGATTTTATAGGTAAATTAAGCCTCTGCCATGGATTTAAGATACTGAAACATTTGATTATCCCTTAAATCAAGGGACCCTGTAAGAATCTTCACAAGTTAAACTTTTTAAGTGGAAACGTGCTAATGACTGCACTAAATCTGCCTGCCTTTATGCCAGGTTTGACTCTCTGCCTTCAGGTGCCTAAATGGTAAGTACCAAATGCTCTCCCTTTCAGGTATTTTCATTCTGCGAAGGTACTTGCCAGTAATTAGCATGAAAGTAGATATCCCCTGCTTTACAGTAATCAGAAATATTTAGGGTTTGTGCTTTGTGGGGGTTTTGTGTATTTGAGAGACTAGTGTTTATTCCATCTTGGAAAATACAAGTATATTTTGGCAATGCCGTTCTCTTCTATACAGATGTTATTGTAGGCTTACTTAGGGGAGAGAGTAGTCTAACGTCAGTCCCCAAAGAATAAAATTTGTTAAGATATTAATATTTTACAATGTGAGAAAAAGTGATTTTTGCAGCCACTATTAATAGATCCAACAGTAATCAATTATGTTTATAACAGAATATAACGTTTAACAGAAGTTGTGAAAATGCAATTAAAGTACCTTCAATGTTTTTGAAATGGGTCAGAATCTGGAGCATTCAGTAATTTCTCCATCTTTCCTCTGTTCCTACATTTTATAGAAATTCACAAGATACTTTCATCTTTCAATCAAAACTATTTATTCAGAAGTAAAACAAAGCCATTACATGAGCCTCACTTCATTGAACTGTTATGATGCACATTCCCCCGCATCAACAAGAAACATTATAGAAATTTTTACTTTTCTGTTCTTATGACCACATGCAAATAACACCTACAATACAAGCAAACTCCATCTGCTTGAACACCTGCAAAAAAAAACCTACAAAAAAAGACTTGAGCTTAGACATTTATACATACACACACACTTAAGTTTCACAATTGTTTTTATTGGTACAGATAAAGGCAACAAAAAGTACATTATACAAGCTTCAATATTAATCCCACTTCTCACCCCAAGACCTGCACACCACTACAAAGAGCGTCCTTTCATGTCATTTCATCAATAATGCTACACATCGCAGCATCTTTGTCTAAAACCTGATCTTTCTTACAGACAGAGCCCGCTCTCTGCTGTTCATTCTGCCCAATGCAACAGCTGCCGTCATCCGTATCCATGGGTTCAGTTTTTATCCCCAAACCTCCCTCAGAATGAGGTAGGTCATCAGGCAAGGAGGCCAGGCAATTCTGGATCATTTCTACAACCCGCTCCAAATGCTTCTGAAACCTCTCAGCTGTCTCCAGACGCTGACGCTTCTGCACTTCCATCATGACCCGCAGCGTCTCTCTGGCCTGGTGCGGACGATATTCATTTATAAGATGATGGACGTGGACAAAAAGCAGCTTCAAGTCTTCCAGCTTCTCCTCTCGTTTTATACTGCCTGGGCTCCTTATCAAGATATCCAAGAGGTCCAAGAAGTTGACCAGGATGGACATATTGAGTTTCCTGAGCTCCTTCTTGTGATCAAACTGCATGGGATGCAACCGTTCAATCCCTTGGCTTTCCAAGGGGCGGATAATAAGATCGTCGCATTGGAACTGGTTACCAAACATCATGTAGCTGTCTTTCACGGGCGGCGGGGGCTTCGGGGCCAGTCCCTTGCGAATGTTTTCATCTGTATATTCCTTTATATATTGCATTGGAGGTGGAGGCAGAGCACTCACTTGCTGCGGCTCCCCCATGGTGGCAGAGAAGTGCCTGGGGTGTAAAAAACAGCCCGTAAAACACCACTCAGACTAACTGGAAAAAAGGAGCTCGCAACACAGGGACAAACTCGACGACACCCCTGTGACTAAGCAGGATGTAATGCAACCTCTAGGAAGTCAAATGCTTCAGGACGTGGGGCATAGAGATTAACACAACCTTTTGGCAATTGAAAGGAGGGGATATTTACTTCTCACGTGCATGCACTTTTCTTACTCTGCTAGTTCTTTAAAAACAAATAAATAATGACATTTCTTTATTCTTGAGGAATTGGAAGAAACCAACAAACATAAATAATATGCATCAAGTGAGGGGTGAGGTGGGCGCTGTTTGATGCACGCACACAGCTGGGACAGTGCCCACGTGGAAACTGCCTCACCCCCATCTGTTTTTACAGGGTTTTATTAAATGTGCAGCAACCACTCTTGGG